AATGGAGATTTTTTATTTAATTTATTAAAAATGTCTAACAAAAATAATGTATTAATGTAATATAATTATTACATGTTATAATGGTTCTAATATATTTATAGAATATTACCGTAAAAATTATTTATTTGAGATTAAAAGGGGTTTGAAAGTTCAAGATTTTAAATCGTGTAAAAATGTAACAATAAATAGTTTTCCATATCGTTACACACCATTTTACTGTAAGGAAACTAATGTAAAAACTAACCTTTCACAGTTCAAAATATATTAATTGTAATTCTCCACAAATGATTATCATAAAAAGTATAGTCAATGTGTTCATATTTGAGTGGTGCCAAAATATAAAACAATATTCAAATGTTTAGACAATCAACTTCAACGTAAAATCTTTAATCGGGAAATGGATTAATATAATATGTAATCAAAATTTCACCTTAGACACCATAGTGTACTTCATTGAAATTTCGTTGGCAACCACTGTTAGATATTATATAATATCATCATCTCTATACCATATTTCATTTATATAATTGTAGAATGGAAATCTAGGCGGACTAAATTGGACCGCTCACCCTCGTGATAAAAACTGCAGATGTTTTCTTGTTTTCCGGTGGGGGTCGTAGTTTTCATTCAAATGTCGTTGAGTAGGTAACCCTTGTATCAGAAAATAAAGTATACCGATTTGAAGGCCCTCTGTTTTCATGTTTATTTATACAACATATTACATGAATTTATATTTCTACATGTTATTATAACAAAGAACTTCTGTGAGCAAAGAGCTCAGTAATTTATAAAAAAAAAAGAATGTTTAAAAGAAAGACTAACGTCACAAAAAATAATTTAAATATATTTTTTTAATTTTATCATGTCAGTGTTTCTTTTAAGTACAATATGTAAAATTAAAACATTTACATTAACATATGCAACTAATTCCGTGATTGTTATTGTAAATAACAATATTATAGCTACATATAATAATCGAAACGTCTTATATTTTACATCTAACTATCTACCTAACAAATATATATGAAACGTTTAATATTTCAATCAATCATTCAGAAAAATCAAGAAACAATGGCTAAAGCTAAAATCCCATTCGGCTTTCGGGCGTCTCACTCAACCATACACCAGGTACACAGAATCGTAAGATGCATTTCGTATTCCCTGGAAAAAAAAACTTTATTGTAATTGTGTGTTCCTAGACATTGCACAAGCCTTCGATAGGGTGTGGCACGATGGCCTTTTATATAAGCTTCAGACATTCCTACCACCCACTTACTATCTACTCATCAAATCCTATCTAACGGATCGATATTTTCAAGTTCGCTACGGATCAGCTCTTTCTGATTTAGCTTCTATAAATGCTGGTGTGCCTCAAGGTGGCATTCCATCTCCAATTCTCTATAACATCTTTGTTCTGATCAACCTACTACCCCCAACACATCAGTAGCTGACAATATGCGCTAATATCCATTAACAATAATCCTATCTTAGCGTCAATAAATCTTCAAACTCACCTTAATGCCATGGAAAAATAGTTCACACAATGGCGGTTTAAAGTTAACCAGAATAAATCCGTTCACACAACCTTTACCCTCAGACATACTCCTTGCCTTGGTGTTGTTCTGTACTGAATTCCAATTCCCTACTCTCCAAAAATCAAATACCTCGGCTTTACTTTAGATCAAAGATTAACGTGGGCACATCATATCAGAACAAAAATATTAGTATTGAATCACCGTCTTCACTTACTTAAACCCTTATTATCCAATAATAATCACACCGCTATTAGAACTAAATTGTTTATATAAAAAACACTTTTGAAACTACTATATGGACCTACGGACTTCAGCTATAGGGAAATGCGAAAAAGACAAACATCTTGAAAATCCAAACCTTTCAAAATATTTCGCTTAAAAGAGTAGCGAATGCTCCACCCTACTTGTCTAATCATACACTACACACCGACTTAAAACTTAACACAATAAACGATGAAACTAAAATCTTTTATAAAAGATTCTATTACCGTCTAAATAATCACCCAAATCAATTAATAAAAAACTTGGCCACCCCCACAATACCTAGAAATCCTCCGAGAAGTGTAAGTGGTGTCGAGATCTCTTAAATTAACCTAAATTAAATTATATGTTCAATTCAAATTTAAAAAAAATAATAATAAATAATTATCAAGCTAACAGAAAGTGCTATCAATGGGTGGCTTCTTTCAACAAAATCCTCATGACATGTTATGTAATCTTTATCACATTTTCTTATTGTGTCTAGTATGGATACAGATTGTTAATTACTTTTGAAAAAAAAAAAAAGAGTCTGTTAATTTAACATTATTAATAGGTATTTGTATTATATTACTTAACCCTTTGTTTATACTAAACATCCAACCTATTTTTTTATTTTTTGTAAATAGTCAATAATAATCAATAACTATTTAATATTTCTCCTTGAGTTAGGTATGATTTAGTAATTTTGTATTCCACCAGTACATACATACATAACATAATATGTACTTTGAATAATAAATTATACTATTTATTTGCATCTGTCAATTTATAGTGCACTGATATTTATTTCGTACCAATTTTAACTAATTTTTTTTTTAAACCCAAACCTAGATATAATATGACACTTGAAATGTTCTTATAATATCGTAAACATTAGAATAAAATATAGATGAGCACGAACGGCTGGAGTAACATTAGATAGTAGGTAGTTAAGTAGGTAGTATAACTATAGCTATACATCCAATGATGCCGGTGGATGATAATTTATATGATCGCTGATTTTATAATATTAAAACAGAATTAAGACATGTTCCAAACACCGGAAAATGGTTCTATTAATTTTTAAAATAGATGGTCAAAATAGGATGATTGATTTAAAAAAAAAAGTATTAATCATTTATACCTCTATTCTAAAACTTACCCCAACATATGTTGTTGTTCTGCATACGCCCCTGTGATTTATATTAAGCTTACCAACTCCGAACGGATTAATAAATTATAGGTACCTACTATAAATTATAATATTACGATGATAAATAAACGCAAATAAAATTCATCAGAAGTTATACCTATCTGGTTATGAAATGTATAAAATATAAAAACGAATTCTTATGCCATCGCTTGAGGCCGATCGGAACCATCGTCGGTGGTAAACGTGCACAGTAACGATAGTAACAATAATAATAACAACCCCCGTGCATAATATTCCTATATTATAATATGCAACACGATTGCGGAGGGACCGATCATCGTCTGAGCCGGTCCAGGGTGCTATTTCCATACATTATTATTATATATAAAAGTTGTTATAATAATGCTAGCAGTGCAATAAAAGTGGCGTTTATTATCTCGAACATTGGTAAGGGTGTAATGGCAAGATAGCGGGGGTGGATTGCGGTCTAAAACGGTCGACCGTGGCACGTGATTGGCATTGGCCTACTCGTTTACATGTATAGAGCCGGGCCTTGGCGGTATTATTTTTATCAATGCTAGTCAGAATTTCTTGAAATTGTAAATTAATCTAATGCTAAGTCGTATACAGTCTCATGTACAACTGTATAAGTAATCTGTCTCAAAACACCACAGTTAGTAAATATATGAAATTAAATTTGGCTAACTTTGGCAATATTTGAAGTTATTATTAGCAGATTAATTAAGTATTTACAAGCAGTTTTTTTATAAACGAGATTCTAGTCTCTAGAAGCCCACCATAACCTAATCGTAGAATACTGACATATCCTTTCATCCTCCAGCTACCAAATTTTTGTCTCATACTTACAAGAAACTGGTTTCATGGTCTTTTGATTTAATTTTCTTTAAACAAGCTAAGTGTCTAATGAGTGAATTCTTGAAAATACATCCAATTATTGTCATTTATGTTTTTTAAATTTTTTTTACCCACTTATCAGTTATCACATAATATACGATTTATTATGCATTAATCTATGTAAGTTTGTTTACATTTGAAAAACTATTAATAAAGTATACTTATTCTTTTAAAAAATCAATTTTTTTTTAAATTTAAAAATAAAAAAGTGAAAAGTCACGTAATATTTCTACGAATATTATAAAATAATATTTTTACATTACATCTCTCTTACTTGAGTCTATCTTATGTTCCGTCTGCAATTGTTTGTATTGTATAAACGGGCTTTAAAAATCTTTAAAATTAAATTAGATTTAGTTGAGTTATTTAAACTATTTTTTTTAAATATTTTTTATACACGATCTTACGAGCCCTGATTTCATTATTTAAAATTATAAAATATAGTGATAATTTAGTCACTTAGATGTTTGTATCTATTTGTTGTTTTCAGAAATGGAAACCTATTAAAACCGATTTTTCCATAATCTAGAATTTTAGGGAAATTTATAATTTAAATTGAATCGATAATTTATTATTTTATAGCACAAAAATAAAATACTTAACCAGAATTAATTTTAATACTTTGTAATACTTAATAACTATTATAATACTAGGTATATGTACATATATAAAAAAAAAAATAGCAAATTTATATTGTTTTTTTTTTTTTTTTATAAAATAACAATTAAACCGGGTTTAAAAAATCATTAAATTTATTAAGAACAATATAATATACCTACTAACCTACTTTTTATATCGAAAACAATAATATAATATGAAAACAATTACCATTTAACCAAAAAAAAATCTTTCCGGTTGTTTTACGCTGCTTCTGCTATATTGCTATTTTTGTCGCTGCAATTTATGCTTTTTTCTCTGCTTATCGTAATAAACAACGTTGAATGACACAATCTATAATAATCATTGGGGGTACAAAGTGCACAATAATAACAATGATAATATCGTGTCCTTGGTTTTGTTGTGCAGTGGTGGGAAGAGGGGATAAGGCGTGAAATGTTTGCGAAACATACCTAATATGTTATGATATATATATATTATTAAATATATTATTATCGCTTTTATTGTGTACACGTTGTCTAACGATCGCCACGACGGTAATGATTTCAGGTGATCAGACGTGGGTGGAGAGCGGCGAGAAGCGTGGACGGACCATGTCCACCGAGACGGCGCCGAACTGCGGTTACGGGAGCAGCGAGGAGACCTCATCGCTGCTGGTCAAGAGCCCGCCGCCGGTCGTCCGGTCTTCGTCGGTGGCGGCCGCGACCTCTTCCTCGGCCGCCACCACCGCAGCTTCCGGCACTTCCACGTCGTCCGGGAAGCCCGTGTTGACCCGACAGGACTGCACCACGTCGCTGATCCCGCACCACTACCGTGACCTGCGGAACGCCACGCCGACGCTCGGCAGTAGCGACGACAGCGGGCCGCCCAACGACGGCGGCGCGGCGGCGAGGTCGGTGCCGGACATCGAGCTGCACTGCCGGTACTTGGCGGTGTCTCGGTGCCAGTGCCTGCGACGCAAAAGCCACTGCATTTCACGGTCGGTGTCCCGCGAGAGCGTCCGCGGCGGTTGCGGCTCGGTAGGCGGCGGCGTCGGCGGAGTGGGCGGCAGCGGTGTCGGCGGCATGGCTGGAGCAGCCGGTTGCTCGGCGGTCGGTTACGGGTACGGTTACGGCGTCGGCGGTTGCGGCTCGATCGGCGGCGGCGGCGTCGGATCCGCATACGGACTGTCACCGCCGCCGCCCGTCCTGCTCACCACGTCGCCCAGCTCACGGATCATCAGGCAGAGCTCGCAGCCCGAGGCCACCGGCAACGCGTCCATGTGCTCCGGCCACTGTTGCCACAACATTCACCATCAGCCGAGCTCGTCGCTGCGACAGCTCCGCGACCCGGCCGACAATATAGCCATGATCGCGGCCGACTCCCTGCGGATAAATGGCGCGATCAGACAATTCCGACAGGTTGGATAATAACAGTAATACAATAAACCGCGTTAGGAGTTGTTGTTATTTCTTTTTTCTCTCCCATTTTTTTCAATTTTTTTCTTTACTCGGCAACGACTTGCGTCGTCACGCACATTATATTATTAAGTTACCGCATATATCGCCACAAAACCTTATATATACCTACCTGTACCTAATTTTTATTTATACCACACCAGTTATAGACACACATCAGTGGTATATTATTATACATTTGCATTCCTCCCCACCGTCACTACCACCACCAGTGGCGTGGTGAACATTAATAATATAAAAGGTCTAAACGGGTGCACTTGCCCGAACCCTGTGGGTTTAGGTACTAAACGTTTTGCCATGCCCGTTGTAAAAACATCACTCACTACGTCACTGGCCGCCTCTCACCAACTCCCGTCAAAACGCTTTTTTCCTATTTTTCTCTCTATTTTTTTTATTTAGTATATTATATTCGGTCGAATTTGTTGATGAAAGCTGTGATGACGACGCTTTACCCCTGCCTTAATACCCGATATAGTAGAATGCGACAACTAAGTAAACGTTTTAATCGCTTTAAGTTCATAACTCTAGGTTTTTACAACACTGTTTATTTTAAAATAGTCCAAGTACTATAGCATGACCCTAGTAGTATACCATATTTATTACGATTAATAATTTACAACCAATTGGTTTCTGTTGCATTTATAACCATTATTGGTTTCAAATTGATTAGTTTACGAACATTTGTTACCTATAATCGACTTTTTTTCTTCGTCTGAATACAACCAACGGCCTTGGTAATCAAACGCCATTTAATAATTCATTGCAACAGTGATAGCATACCAAATGAATCCAATATATAAATAAAATAATTTTCACAATTTAGGTAGGTATATATTATTTTAGGATATACCTAAAGAATTCATATGATTTCATACATATGTAAAAAAACAGTTAATTATTAAAAATAAAAAAAAATCCCAATTATAAAATTAGGCTAATTTAAAATTATAATCATTATTTATTCAAACTTATTAAGATTTAAAATAATCGTTCTTTAACTCAATTTGTTTCTGTATACTTACCTATGTAGAGTAATTATAAGTGATAATAAGTATAATATATAATATAGTATAATAGTATAATATATAAGTGATAATTAATACGAATATGACTATAAAACGCAAAGTATATTTGGTTTTTGAAAAAAACATAATTGAAATTCCATAGGTACTTAAATGTATACCTTGTGTGTATAGAATTCCATATTGTTAGCCATGATACTCAAATAATGAATTATCAAATTGCCAACTGACAGAATAGAAATAATATTTTTTTTTTTTCACTATCTAGGTAGCTAAAGTAAAATCATAGCAGAGTCTACAAAAAAAAATATTTCTTTCTTCTGCATGAGCAACAATAATAATAAGTAATAACAATGAAAAGTATGATACAATTTAAGTGTTTCTGAGTTAAACAACTATACTTTCAAATGTATGCCAAGTTCTTAAGAAAAAAAATACTCTTAAGTTTATAATAATGGGTTCAAAGTGAGATGCGGCATGTTTTTTTAAGTATCTACGTAATGATAAATAAATGAAAACGACAAATTGCTTTCGTAGTGAGACTTTATTAAATAATAAATAGTCCCATCAAAAAATTAAATATTTAATAATAATTTATTTGGCTTATAAAATATAATTATACTTTGTTTATTTTTAGCATTTATTTATTCATTATCTACAAATATATTTTAATTTTACTCTAAGTATCACAAAATAACTCTAATTTTCATTTAAATATTAAAAAAATATATATTTTTATAGGTAGGTCCTATATTGTATGATGTCTATATTACTGGATTAAATATCTAACATAATATTATTAACTATTTTAAAATGACTTTAATGATGGAGGGATGGAGGGCAGGATAATATAAAAAAAAATAGATAAATAAAGTATTTGACTATTATTCTATATAATTATTTATTTAGATTGACTGACTGATGGTAAAATGATTTAAATTTAAATTAAATTTATATATAATGAGGAACGATTGTTATCTGTTTTGGTTTAATAACAATTCTATATGTATATTATAAAATAACAGAATCAAACATTATACAAGAGTTTTTTTTTAATTTAATAAATGTTTTAATTCATATATTTTAATCATTCATAAGTGGGAAAGAACTTATTGGGCCACCCGTAGTAGATTTAATGGGGATGTTTGACACTGTACAGAAAATGTGAACTTGGTACCTAATATATTCCATTATATTATCTAGAACAGCATTTCAGCCCATTTAAAATGATGAATATAAAACAGAAATCGTAAATCTACAAATTAAAATATGTTTCATTTACTTATCGTGGCCTAAACTAACCAAAATTACAAACCATAATCTTCTAGGAAGACTTTCGAGGCTTTTCATATACCACTGAAATGTATATTTGGGATCCAAACAAGAATATCTTCGGTACAGCTTGTGCTGTTAAGGAATTTATTATACATTAAAAATAAACGATTAAACAAGTCCAACAAGTCATCAAAAATAAAGAGAAATAACTTATAAACTTTAGTAAAATAATAGTTAAGCATAAACCATGTTATAACTTCCTATAATATTATGTGAATTATGAATTCGTATAAAAAAAAAAAAATGAAACTTTAATAAATATATTAAATTTTTTTAGCTTTATTAAATAACAAAAATAGTGACAAGAGATGAAATGTAATATTTACAAAAAGTAAAATCTCGTACACTATATACATCAAATATGAATTCGCTTTATTTAATTCTCTGTAAAATTTGAAAATACGATATAGATAGGTACCATTATATGTTTCTATAGAAATAATAATTATAATATGCCTGTAATAAATTGATCAATTATGTGATTTTCGTTCAATAACTATCAAATAGTTATGACTTGGATTTAATTTGTTATTTCACCTAATATTATTATAGTTTACATAATAATGTATAATATATATCTATAAATATATATATATAAATATAATAAGGTAGGTAGTGTCGTATATTTTATGTGCTATGACCATAATTAAACTAGTATTGAGTATATTGCCACTTTGGCTGTTACAGTTGAAATTTTATGGCAAACGAATTATTGGTAATAAAATAAGTACATACTTATTTTAGAATAAATTAAAATCAATAGTTTAATAATAAAAATGTACATACATATCTCATAAATGTTGGCTTTTAAGTGAAAGTGTAATATGCCTAATGTATTTATTGTTCCTAGGAACGTAATATATTTAAATTATGAAACCAATGATAGGACACAATTGACGTTGGTATTGTAGTAAACGTGTTTATAATTCAACATTTCCATTGGGGGACACAACCATAATTTTTTAATTGACATGGGGATTTGGGGATTGACAGCATTTTTAAGGTCACTTTACATTGAACTTTTGACCCATTTAATAAGGTTTACGACTAGTATTTCAGTTCAAACTATACCATTAGCAAACATTAGCAATGTTCGATTTAACGTTATATCTATGATTAGGTATATTAGAATTCCAAGGGTCGGGTTTTCGCTGAAAGACATCACAATATCTGAGTTGATTTTTTAAAAACAAATGTTGTTAGTATACAACATTTTTATTGAAGTTATTATTTGTTACAAAGTACATATGTATCTGTCTGTTGTACTACAGCCATATTAAGTATGCACATTGACAAATTGTACACACTTAGATAGATTGAATGTAAATTCCCTCGTGGAAACCAAAACTTTATGAATGTGAATAACAATTATTCGTAATTAACATTTGTAAACATTGTTGAGACGAACCATGAGATTGTCTAATGCATTTAGGTGTGCCATGTAATATTTCAAACACGTGTATAAAATGAATAAATAAATAAATAAATAAATAAATAAATAAATAGGAATTTAAAATATAGTGTAAGAATATGTATTGTCATACATTAGAATTTTTGAAATAGAGTTTACCTGTCTAATAATTTCAAATTGATAATTTGTAACGAAAGTTCAGTAAATTTACTTTTAATATTCGTAAGATTTAAAAAAGGTTTTACTTGTGACCATAAAAGAATACTAAATATAAAATGTATCTTTTTCAATCAAACGAAATCAAATTTATAAATCCGTATTATTTACATAATACAATTTTTAATATCCGCATATTTTAAATAATTACGTACATTTAAAATTTAATTTAAATTTAAATAGAATTTTTTTTTAACATAAATTCTACCATAGCGGTTATATTGAAATTTGATTATTAAAAATACCAATTCATCCAGTTTTTTCAAATTATAAAAGTGACATAATGCATCTTAATATATTAAAAAAATATTTTAGCTAAGATTACCTACTTCTAGCAAAATATGTGGAACATAAATAGGGAAATCCATTTTCTAGAAATGTATGCAGTAGGAAGCTATCTACGTTCTACATATTATAGTACTTACTGTTTTTCCCCAAGGATGCATACTGTGTTTCTTTCCTAACATTGTACCATTTTATTGGTTAGGCTACAAAATAACAATATTTGTAAACTATATTATAAAACCTGTAGTAAGACATTTGTAGTTGTTGTTACTTATTTAGATTTTAATAAGAAAATAATATGAGACAGTAAAAATACCGGATTTGCATAAATTGTAATTTAATAGATAAGTCAATAGATATCTTATAAAGGTAATTCCAAAACAATAGTTCTTGTGAAGAACAGTATTAGAAAAGTTTGAAATGATTTTTATTTAAAAAAAAAAATAATGTAAATATGATATGAATTTTTCATCCGAGTACATTTGGTACTGACTTGGGTTAGGAATGTAAAGTATGTAAAGACCATGACACATCCTGTCTGTGAAAACTAAAGATTGATTTTATTCAAAAAATACATTAAATAATCTATTATGATAATTATTATTAAGTCATCACCGGTACCTAGGTATGACACTCATATAATATTTCGTGACATGCGTGATACACGAAGTCGTGTTTTTTAT